AAAGCCATCAAGACTGGGGACTCTTAGATTTTTTATTTAATTGAACATAAGTAAAATCAAATTAAGTTCAAGAACCATAAATAACTAACTAGACTCAAATTGAAAGATCTTCCACAGGATAGAATGCATTCAAATAATACCATGCACAGCTCAGAAACATCAGAACAACCTAAATATTCATGTAATCATGTATATGGGATGGAAACCTAGAATATAAATAGTTCCAGAACATTGAAAGCTACACGGTTCACCATTGCACTGTATGCTATATTATATATTACACAGAAACACACGCACACACATATATATATATATAGAGAGAGAGATTAAAACAGAGAATCCTGCTATAAAATACGCTATTCACAAATCAAAGAAATGTGTAAGATTTGAAGATTGATATTTTTAGACAAATGGTTAAATTACTAGGAGAAAAAGGGCAATATTAGTATGTTAGTTAAGGTCGGAGCAAAATTTGGATATTAGTATGAGACATGCTAAAATTTTGGAAATTAGTATGTTAGTATGAAACATCCCCCCCCCAAAAGAATTGCATCTTAACATTCCCCGCCCCCCCAAAATCTCACCTCAGATTTTTTCCCCAATGCCAATGAAGCCGCAGCAGCTATCATTAAAATAACCAATGTCAGATCCTTGCATGCATCCCACATAAACATCTGTAAAAGGCATGAAAAACAACCAGGTCACTACAATATCCCCCAATGACGAAGAAGAAACTTATACCATATAATCATTAAGCATTTAAAGACTCCAGCTCTCCAAGTAACTTACCAAAAAACCCCTTCCTTTCTTCCGAGGATAATTGTTGGAACCAAATGCATTCCCTCTCCCCTCCATTTAAAAATTTCGTCCCCGAAATTACCTGTAGCAAATAAAAATAGATATGTCTGCTGCCTTAGACTTTCTAATGTTCCACCTTAGACTTTTGGAATACTACACACAAGTCCACAACTTCCTCTACTCCTCTCTTCTCCTTAGATCACCACGCTTCTGCTACGCCACTCTCATACATCTTCCTAAGGTCCTAATCC